TAAAGGGGCATAACTCCAGAAATTATGGTCGGATAATGGCGGTTATCGAACTTGTCCGAGCTTTCATGGTAATTAACCTTGTTGTGAAGTTTGAAGTTAATCCGTTAATAATTACTCGAGATATCGAGCGGACATCGTTCGCCCGCCCGCTCACGTGATAACATAATACGTCCCCGTCTTCCACGGGCGTATAAAAACCAGACCTTCAGCTAGACCCCACAGCATACATTTCTATGCATGGCCAAATTTTAAACAAGAATTCCACGGAAGTGGATGTGTGGCTTGCCCAGCGCTTTTAGTAAGAAAAGTGTTTTGGCTCGAGTTATTGCGTAAACAGATATGCCAAAACGTGCAAAGTTGAAACTCGACAGAAAACCCCGTAATATATGTTGAACATTATTGCTTCTAGCATTATGGTATAAAATTTGAAAGGAATTGATTAAAAAATAAAAAAAAGTTCTTGCATTTACTACACAATGCCCTTTTTTGGCAACTTCTGAAAAGCGAAACTTGTCCGAGCTAAATTGGTATGCAATATGTGTACCAAGTTTGAGTTCAATCAACCCAAGGGAACTCAAGTTATCGCACGGAAACCTTGTTTCGGACGACGCAGCCGACAAAGTAATACCTATATGTCGCCTCGCGTTGCAGGCGACACAAAAATCTTGTGTTTCAGCTAACCCTACCTACAATGTACCTAATTTTTGTGCCTACCCTGTTTTTATTAGCATTTAGTGATACTTGCTGTTTAAGCCAGAACTTCTGCTTTATCTAAGCATAGTAAAAATATTTTCCAAAATAAAGAAATTGCTTACCTACCTACCCTATTTTTTTCGGAGGAGGATGATAGCGGAAACAGGAGTATTTTTTCCCCGCTTAACTGTAAACCTGCATAAACAGGAATCCTATCTATACCAAATGGATATATTGGTCCCAAAGATAGCCATTTTACACAGATACATGTATCACCTTCTCAGTATAAATTTGTCACCATAGAGTAATGGGATGTTTTTTGAGAATATGAGGATTGGTGGACTTTGCCTGACACAATAAAGGGTACTACATGTACATGTACATTGTTTACTGTGTGTATTGTAATAAGGTGATACATTCTCTTGACGATAAATGGTCAGTATCTACAGGCCCGACTTGCCTGGAATCTCTTCTACACACAGACTCTTAGGATACAAAGTCTCTCGCAAATAATTCTTACTACACAACTCTCTCTGATGACAGAAATGTTAACATAGCATATACTCGCATTTCATACCCACTGTTTCACATTACCCAGCCTTATACTAACAGCAGAAGTATTAATACACTCACATTTATACCCACTGTCTCACATTACCCAGCCTTATACTAACAGCAGAAGTATTAATACACTCAAATTTATACCCACTGTTTCACATTACCCAGCCTTATACTAACTGCAGAAGTATAAATACACTCGCATTTATACCCACTGTTTCACATTACCCAGCCTTATACTAACAGCAGAAGCATTAATACACTCACATTTATACCCACTGTTTCACATTACCCAGCCTTATACTAACTGCAGAAGTATTAATACACTCGCATTTATACCCACTGTTTCACATTACCAAGCCTAATACTAACAGCAGGAGTGTTAATAAACTCGCATTTATAACCACTGTTTCACATTACCGAGCCTTATACTAACAGCAGGAGTGTTAATACACTCACATTTATAACCACTGTTTCACATTACCAAGCCTTATGCTTACAGCAGAAGTGTTAATACACTCGCATTTATACCCACTGTTTCACATTACCCAGCCTTATACTAACAGCAGAAGTGTTAATACACTCACATTTATACCCCCTGTTTCACATTACCAAGCCTTATACTAACAGCAGAAGTATTAATACACTCACATTTATACCCACTGTTTCACATTACCAAGTCTGATGCAGACAGCATACATCATTAGTACATGGCACCAAATAATCATATTCTGTTCAAGTCAAAATTGTATGTTTTCTTGGGAGAGTAAAATAGATTCAACCAAAATGCTTCACAACACGTTTTTACTCAGATCTGTTAGTCCTAACACTGGTTTGATATAATTCCAATCAATGTCCCTATGCTGTGACCATATTTATCTACAACTGGGGGGTGGAGTCCCTGCAAGAAAGTCAGTTCCATAGTGGCGGTAGAGAACCTGGGTGGATACTTTAATGGTATTCAACAGTGCTCATCAGGGAAATCAGAGCAAATGAAAAGAGAAATGATGAGCAACAACACCACTGAATCTGGTACAAAATGTAATGTTTGATTTACATCCTAGGTGCTGACATGTTTCGCCATAAGGGAGGCCGTCTTCAGAGCACAGTTACATGATGTTTGCAACTATGGTACAATGACAATAAAGGTCATGTGACTAGAGCAATAAAGAATAACTGTGACGTCATCAAGCTGCTAAGAGTTACAGCCTGAAGGGGTGAAAAGGTTTAGCCATTTTTTGATTGGTGCATATTGGTCCCAGACTAGAGGATCATACAGTGACACTTGCTCATGAGACGACCTCATTTAAGAGACCACTTGTGTTTAGAGATTAGAGGCGTCACGATTCACTTGCACCGCGATTATTTATGTTCTATTCGATTCACAATATATTTTTCCGGATTTTCAATACGTCACTATCTGAATATTAGTGTATGCAACTTCAGCCGAAACCTCTGCGAGACGTTCAATTTCATTGGCTGATCTACAAACTCTCAACCAATCGTCTGCAAGGATGCAATTTTCACAAAGCATTCATGACAAAATGGCGGACCGCCGCAAGGAAATGAAAATTTGTGATGCTCCGGCAAGCTTCAAATCAAAAGTGTGGAAACACTGCGGGTTTCCGTGTATCGACGGCTTATATATCTCATTTTGTTTATATTTTAAAATAAAGGTGTATCAAATCGAAATAATTGAATCGTGGTACAAATATCAAGATACATATCTAATCGTGGGTAAAGTGTATCATGACAGCTCTATTAGAGATCATTCTTAATGTTCCCCACTGTAGGGATTCCAATGTGAAATTAACCTGTATTAAAAAACCACCTGCATTAAGAGACTGCCTTTTGGACTTCCCAAAGGTGGTCTCTTAATACAGGTTCGACTGTATATGGTTGTTAAGGTGGATGATAAAATTGTCAACAAAGAACCAAGGGACAAACAATGCTGATCAGTGTCTTTGAAAGCTTGATCGGTATAATATATTCATTGAATACAAACGCTTAAGTGACCATAAAGCAGAGGTTAAAGAAAAATCACTGGTCTGGAAATGTATCGGTCCAGAGCGTCATGTATCAATATCATACTGAAACAGTCAAGAAATCACAATATACTGATGTATAATTACATCACCTAAATCTTGAGATAATTTCTAACATTTATTTCAGATCAACAATAGCAATCAGACATATAGCAAAACTGATTGCTATGGTTTATATTCACATAACAAATATCATATGGTATATCAAAATGGGCGCTCAACAAACATATACGGTATACCAGGACAGTTTCGCCAACTCAAACTTTCACCCTTCGTAATATCCATATTCACCCAGTAGGAATTTCGCCCTTAACATTTGATAACTTTGTATTATGTTGTTTATCAATGTTCGCTTTAATGATTAATTTGCCCTCGCCAAGTAAGGGTAAAAAAGGCGAAAAATTGAGCTGCGGCAAATTTTTCGTTATACAGAATCAATATTTTGGGTTTTTCCCCCCCCGTTATTTTAACAACCTGTTCATCCTTTCTGATTTCCAAGTTTCAATATGACATGCTCATCAAGCAAGAAGCTTTCTGATTAAAACACTATCATTATGTGAATTTGCTGAATCATACTCCGCTGTACTACATTATACCTCCTAATAACTTTGGCCAAAAAACCTGGGCTAATGAATTAATCTGAGATACAAGTAGGTGATAAAATTTCGAGGGTCGGCGGGAAAATCTAGGTTGTAATGCAATTTCACAACAAAAGGAAAGTACTTTTCAACATTTTATGACATCACTGACCAAATGGCACATGTGTAAATGAAAGAGGTGAGTCTTTAATACCATATATATTGAGTTATTTACACAGGTTTTAATTTTCACAATTTTGACAAAAAAATAAAAAAAATAGATTTACACTGATTATGATTTCACGATCTAGACATGTAAAGGAACTAAATTTCCGCTGTGTCTTAGCACAGATATGGGATACTCGACATAATATGTGTCAAATAGTTGAATAAATAAGCAGATTGAGCAGCAACAAGTAAGTATATTTTGTTAAATATATCATCAACAATCTATTAGATGTGTGACATAACCAATTTTCAAACATAATTACTCTATGTATATTGTCACAACCACATTCTCGCTATTTCATGACAACATCACGGTTATGAAGATTATTATCTCTGCATCATCATGACATAACGCTTGTCATACTATTCTGCGGATCATATTTTCACAATCACAATATTGACCAGCGAAATTGCGAAAATATCGTCCCCACGGAAATATTCTGCCATATTGTACACTTATATTGTATCTAGATGGACATGCCCAGGTAGCCATGAAGTCAAGTAGAATCTCAGTTTCAATAATTCATTTAACAAGTTTAAAACTTTCTCAGCTCAAGAATATAAAAGCATAACAGATAAAAATCTCAACAAAAACAAAAACCTTCGATTTGTTTTCATCTTCAGAAAACCTTTGATAAATGTGCATTTTTAAAACATAAATTGCCCTAATTCTACGGTTAGTTATCAATAAATTATAATGTCGTACAAAAACTACAGAAAAAAGAAAGAAAAAAAAATCTTAATAAATACACAGAACATAGAAAGTTACAAAGAACGTTCAAGTGATCAGGAATACAACAGGCTTTGTACTGATCATTTTTAAATTAACGTAAGAATTCATCAAATTAAAGTTGATACATAATTGCACCAAATGCTGTCTATAAGTGATGACAACAAATATTAATACTATCCCCGACACTTATAGTCAACACCAAATACTGTTTATAAGCAACGACGACATTGTACGGACACTTTCGAGAATTTCATTCAACACACTCTCTATATTTTTTGATGCGTTTCCATTCGCCGGTCTGATAGTTCATTTGGAAAAACGTGTCTGCAATCATTGTTTTCTGTGTAGTGTCAATTTGTGAAACCATTTCTTTGTTCTCACTAAGACGTATACTTAACACACTGCCTTGCTGGGGACATGGATTCTCTGTAGAAATAAATAGAGAGAAAAATCCATTACAAACTTGCTTTTCTAGACATTACAAAATCATATATTCATTTTAAATTTAAATTTTAGTTCCGTGACCGTTGGTTGTGCATGTGCTCATCACAAACTCTCTTGAAGATCAGTGATTTACATGCAAATCTGAAGGTCTCTACATATTGGTACAAGCCCTATGCACATTAGCTATCATGTTGAAGAAAATAAAATGCCTTTTGTCAACCTGAAAGACCAGTGTCTTAGACGTCAAAATGTCACTACTCGTCCTCGATATTCAGGGGTTACGCTCACTTTCGCTCTCTGCACTCCTGGAATGTGTCATACCAAAATCGAAGGCTCAGTGTGAGCCACCTTGTGGATCAAACAAGAAGACAAGCTTTGATGCACATCAGAAGAGTCTAATGGTTGCCTAACAGTAAAACTGACTGGCTTTGAAGTCAGGTGTCACTCCTCTGTAATCTGGAACGGTATATATATATATCAGCTTAGCGATTGGTCAGTTTGTTTTTTAGACCAGTGGCGTGCCTTCAATTTTGCTATGACATATTCCAGGGGTGTAGAGAGCAAAAGTGAGCATAACCCCTGGAGTATTGAGGATGGTCACTATTATGTAGTACAGAAGAAAAAAGAATTCTGTCATCAGCCTGAACAACCACTGTCTTACACTTCAGAAATGTCACTACACTGTAGCAGGGAATAGACTTCCCATTATCTGCCTGGTAGGGTCACTACAATGTAAAATGTATTGTAGCAGAATATTATGAACCACAAGATGGTTTTGAACCGTTCCAAATATTTTTTTATTTGCTTTTAAATGCAACTCTGTGCTGTCATTTTAGATTCCACAACAAAGATTGTTAGATAAATATTTTACAAAGTACAATACAAGAAATCTCCTAGCTATATGACTAAGGAGGCATAACTCTCTCTTCATGTGGTGTAAACTGCATACAAGCAAACATTTCCAAAGACAACATAATAAACATAGAAGATACACACCTCTTGATCCTGCCATGAAGCCAAGGATTAAGGCTTTTTCTGGTCTCGTAACCTTGTTTGATGTTCTAAACATTTCTTGCGCTTCCAACATTTGTTCTCTCTGAAAAAAATATTTAAAATAAGAATCAAGCATTTTATCACCAATTAAAGTGCTTAGAATTTTACTACAAGACAATTTGTTATCACATGTGTTTAACTAACAGGTTTTTAAACAACATCAACATTGTATATAATGTATATGTTCTGTAATCGCCCTGCATACGTTTTGGTATTCATACTCAAACCAAAGCACCCCCTGATTAACCAACAAACCTACACCTGACGTTGGCTCTATATAAATTGAGCACTAAGGATCCCTGTCCCACTGCACTGTGGTTTTCCCTTTATACAGTTACCTTCCCTTAACTTCTGCTTGGATATGACCGTAGCACATTTTGGCTAAAAGACACTTCCATTGACAAGTTAGTTAAGTTAGTTAGAGAGGTTTGACTGTACTTGTAAATTTGTAAACCTGTCTCACTGCACTGTGGTTTTTCCTACATGCAATAACCTCCCCTTAATTTCTGCAAAACAGTTTGGCCAGTATATACTTCTGTTGACCAGCTAGCTAGCTAAGTCAGTTAGAGAGATAGCATAACAATCCAAAGTCCAGGGTTCGAATCCTCAGTCTAGCCCCTCTTTATTTTTACACTCGGAACACTGCTGTTGATTACACTTTATTGATTTCATCTTTGTCATTTCTCATAAAGGTTTCGCATGGTAAACTTTTCTTTTCAGAAATGCTTTATCAAAGCGTTATATAACCATGCCAGAAAAAACAGTCTCCAGGAATTAGTGACAGTTGCTTGGTAGTGGTACGGGGATCCTAAAATTGTAACCATGGTTACCAAATTGAAATGCAAGAGACCCCCAATACTTATTTTACAGAATTGTGCTATATTTCTGCGAGTAATAACTAAATTAAATACTTGATTGGGAATTTGGGACCCCAATTAATTTGAAAAGGCTAGTCCTATCACTGGTTTGGGTATTTGGAAGGTGTTATGCAACTTGTATCAGAATATTCAGTAAGGTTTAGGGTAGAGCCAACGCCTTGGTTTCTCCAATGGTGGAATAATCGGGTCCTCTGCCCTTTGTCTGGATACTCTAAAGTATGCAGGGTGATTGAGTCAAACTGGTTACAGTCATAGGTTTTATCACAAAAAGGCTAAAGTAGTTCTTGTAGTTTCTTAGAAGTAGAATATTGAGTAGATTTATTTAAAATTCAAATCTGCTTTACAGTCATCGGGTAAGACGGGTACTTCAAGGAGAAGTTCGCACAGTTTAAAATTCTTTATTGTTTATAAGAATATACACTAGGCCATCAATGTGGAGTTTTAGTTTTCAAATCATATAGCATACAAATCAAGTATTTGGGACTTTTAAAATAAAGAAAGGGCTACAAGTGTCTAAAATAACAGCTCCGCTCCTTACCGTTAGTGATAGCCCCTTCTTCGGCTGTCCTGGCTGAGGTGTGGGCATGACTGGTGATGGCTGTATGGGTGTGGTGGTGGTGGACGGTAACGGTTGTACCAGCGTAGGGGTGAGAACAGTGGTAAAAGTGGAGGCGGTTGTGGGGGTGGTTGGGTCTGAGACAGGGGCTGGCTCCAAGGAGTTGTAAGAGGGAGTGTCCGTGGTGCCCCCTCCTGGCCGTGTGGATTTATTGAGCTGCTGTAGCTGTTGCTGGAGGTTCTCCCGAGCCAGTTGTGTGGTAGTGGATAAAGAGGCGGCTGTAACAGGTAATTACAATATAAATAATATTAATGAAATCTTGAAAATTGCCTCACCAATATCATTCCAGAGCCAAGATGGGACAAATTGGGCAAATAGCGACCAACTGTGCCAATATGGGAATAACTTGGTTTTTACGGGACTAACTAAGCTAAACTTCAGAACATTTCTATACTCATTCTGATACCAGCCATCAAGTTGGTCGTTGTACTTAGCTAATGGCAAAAAACAACACGGAGCAAGAAGGGTTAGGTGAGCTAAAAGTCTGACAAGTTTGCACTAAAAATTCAATTTTTAAAGAGGTAATTATTAACAGTGTCATTAATCCGGTGAATCTTACTGACTCGGGTAAAAAATAAGAGACACTTACCTGGGAAGGGTGTGACTGAGGGGTTGAGAATCTTTGATGTTGTGGTCAGAGACACTTACCTGGGAAGGGTGTGACTGAGGGGTTGAGAATCTTTGATGTTGTGGTCAGAGACACTTACCTGGGAAGGGTGTGACTGAGGGGTTGAGAATCTTTGATGTTGTGGTCAGAGACACTTACCTGGGAAGGGTGTGACTGAGGGGTTGAGAATCTTTGATGTTGTGGTCAGAGACACTTACCTGGGAAGGGTGTGACTGAGGGGTTGAGAATCTTTGATGTTGTGGTCAGAGACACTTACCTGGGAAGGGTGTGACTGAGGGGTTGAGAATCTTTGATGTTGTGGTCAGAGACACTTACCTGGGAAGGGTGTGACTGAGGGGTTGAGAATCTTTGATGTTGTGGTCAGAGACACTTACCTGGGAAGGGTGTGACTGAGGGGTTGAGAATCTTTGATGTTGTGGTCAGAGACACTTACCTGGGAAGGGTGTGACTGAGGGGTTGAGAATCTTAGATGTTGTTGCCGGTACATATGATGCTGTTGGGGTTGTAGTGACACTGTTTGTACTTCCTACAGACACAACTGCAATTTTCTGAGAAAACAAAAGAAACAATTCAAATATACCGGTACATGTATTGATGTAGGGAAATTAAGAAACTTAAAGTTATTTGCACTCCACTTAATCAATAGCTGAAATACAGTTTCAAAAGAATTTATTTTTTTCTTAGATAGATTTTGATTTAGTTGAAATACAGTAGAATCTTTTTCACAATTTCAAATATAAAGGATTCTAATATTTATTATCCTAGCTATGCCTTGTAGTAAAGGGTGTGCTACTTAACAGTGGCAAGTGTACTGCCAGGGTCCTCCCCCCGTTAATTTGGGATGGGGGCCTTTTTGTCTCTCATTTTAAAATAAAGTATACCAACTGGAAAGGAAATTTTAAGAAGTAAACTGCAAATTTTGGGAATTAGTCATAGATATGAAATAGTTCCTATTCGGAATGGGGCCCATTGTCGGCTCCAAAAAGTTCCCAGAGAAAACACTGATTGCAGTGTTGACATTTGGAAGGCCTTACTGTTGTGGGACCAGACACAAGTCCTGCGGCGTAGTCCGGGGTGTACGGGGCTGCTGTAGTTGTGGTTGTGGCTGCGGAGGCTGCCCCAGACTCCTTTTCTTTCTTCTTGTTCTCCATCTCCTCTATATCTGTTGGCAAACAACTCAAGGTCAGACGTGTTCAATCAATATTTCAGACTACACCGCCGTGTGTTTTCCTTCTATCTTTGTTAAAGGGGCATGTGTCCTGAATGAGGATGGGGGAGAGATACTAATATGGTGTTTTGGGTTTTTCAGTGTTCTACGCATAGGCTGGAAACTTTTATGCACTTGCAAACGGTGGTACTACTAGCCTAGGGTAATCTAATTTATTACAAACTTACTAATAAATACGTTTTTTTTGTATATGCGATATGACACAATTGCTCTAACCCATATCAGCCCTCGCCGTATCACCCCCCAAAACCTGTATCAGCCCCCGCCATATCACACCCCAAAACCTGTATCACACCCATTTTGGATTTTTTTTCGTTTTTCAATATTTCAAAAGAAAAAAAGATCATAAGATAATAGGTAGCAGAGTACAGTAGAGGGTTGTGGCCATGGGTGATATTTTTGTTAAATGGCTAACCCCTGTATAATGATATGTAAAAAAATTATAAAAATAAAACTGTACTAAAATTGGTATAAGCATGATGAAGTGGGCTATGTGAGCTTCACATTTGTAAAAAAGAAAGAAGATTTCTTTGGTTCGAGAATAAAATTTTGGCCATAATACGAAAGGGTGCGTACACATGAAAAGCTAGCTTTACAGGAGGTAAAATTTTGACAACAGCACACGACGCAAAATTGCAAAAAATCAAGTTTTACAATTTTACTGCGACCCAGATAATTCTGCAACCAGGTAGGTAATCTTTAATTTCAGACAGAGCTTAGGAAAAAAATTACTACTTGCGGGGGTCAAATTTTGGGTTAAAAATAGCATTTTTTGGCATTTTTTGGTAATTTTTGATGTGGTAACCATGGTTTTCACACAAGTGACATACATAGAAAAAAGAGGTTTATACACTTCTCAGTGCTTTATATGTATTGTAAATGTAATGCAGTTTACAAATATATATACATGTATACATGTGTTGTGTAGGGTAAATCCGCTGTGTTTACATTTCCTCGACATGTGCCTTGTTTATCAGAGTCGGGCCATTTCTACTGTATTCTGCTACTATAGTTTTTATTAGTAAGTATGTAATAAACAGAATAAAACATGCTTTTTTCCATATCACATCCAGTATCAACCCTCGACCATTATCAGCCCTCGGGCTGATATCGCAGTCTCGGGTTGATACTGGATGTGATATGGAAAAAGGCATGTATTATTATCTATGTAACATGCATCATAATAAATATTCTGCTCTAAGAAACACATAAAACCTATTTTGAAAATAGTATTAAACTGAAAGGTATATCGCCATAAAATCCAGCTCAGCAATGCTTCCTATTCAGAGAGGTTTTAACGGTTTTTAACACAGATACTTGTCGGGACAATATTTCATTGAAGACTGAAAGACTGCTGTCCTGACTTTCCAGTCACTGTATCAGTTTTAATTAACATGTTTTCAGATGGTTGAAGTGAGGTTGGATATGAGGCTAAGCTATGTCTTATTATAAACTATAAAAAAATCATTTTCAATGGCCCTGGAAAAAAGAAGGCTAACCTCACGCCCACAATGGGTCGTGGAACAGTCAGAAAATGGTTCAAATAGTACTTTAAAATTATATTGGAGAATTTTCCTGATTTCCTCTGATGGTACAACAATAGAGATGCCTATCAGGATTTCCACCATGTAGTTTAGTTTTCAGCAACATTTTATGAGTACCTGATGATGACTTCAAATTAACATGTCAGAAAACCAGAAAAAACAATGTACCTGTGTTACTAAATGTAAGCTATATTTATATATAGTTTGATTTGGTAGTTTCCAGGAGACTTGTTGGAGCCAAAAATTCACTTTTTAATTTTATGTTCGAACATTTTTTACAAAAATTACAAACCTGCAATCTTTTTACGTCTTTTTGCCTCCTTTGCTCCAACAGGCAGAGCTTCCAAGTCTAGGAGCTGAAAAGTAACAACAATAGTGTCACGTCATATATTCTTACACCCAAACGGATTGTTCACAGCCTTGAAAAAATAATTGAATGAATTCTTATCATCGTTTTGTCACCATTTGGTCCTACTGAACTTTTTTGTTATCATTAATTGATAATCCTTTTTAATAACACAATTCTGATCACCCTGGCTTTGCAAAAAAAAGATGAAAACATACCTTGATTCCGCCTTCTTTACGTACGGAACTTGGCCGATGTGCAGACAGTGGTGTCGCACCTCCCATAGGAGATGAATTGAGTCGGTTGATACCTGCTGAAGGAGATCTAAATCCTGGAGTGCTAGCCGAACGCCCAGGCATGCCCTTTAATGGAGCTAGAGAATACACAAAAATGTCCATTTACGCCAATATTCTAACAAATGTTGATGCCAGTACCTTCGTGTAAGCCCCTATTTGAATTGTCAATGAAACTAACTGTTTACTATATATCCTCTAGATCTATCATGTATGTCTAGGTATTAATTTATATAGCTTCCCAGTGAGGCAAGAGGCTAAACGTGTCAACAATTAAGGTAGAGAGATCCAGCACTCTTTCCAGTATCTCCAACAAAGAAGAGTTCCAATTTGTTTGGCATTTTTCTTACTAGGAGTTGCTTCCCAATTTACTAGATAGCAAAGAGTAATATACAAAATGAATGTATATATCTAATTTCTATTTTCACAAACACTGATTAATACAGGAATAGAAAGTTAGTACCTTTTTTTGAAATAGGGGAAAATATGCACTGTAGCAGGTGCATGGCCTGTTCAGCGAGGGCAGCAGGCCAGAGCAAGGAAGAGAGTACAAGATGGGGGGCATGGAAGTCGACATCTTCAATTATTGTTTCTCACTGTTCATTATGGACGATTCAAATAGACACAGATGTGCATTAGAATAAAGCTTGGGGCAGGGCGGCAGGGATTGTGCATTAGATATTTTAATTGGTCGTATTTTACTACTATGTCCACTTTTCTTAGATAAATGCTATCTTTGATGTGTTCCATTTCAATTTTATTCAATAGATCTGATACATAATGACGGTAAAAAATCGATGAAGTGTTATATATTATATTGCGCACATAGTGAAAAAATGATAACGGGTTTGACGGGTAATGCGCTTTTTATACCCAGCGAGACCCATACTAGTTATACCAAGCAAGGACAAACTAAAATGTCGGCACTTCCTTAGAAATGATAGTAGGAAGAGATGAAGAAGATCTCAAAACCAGATTTTTTTTTTTTTTTTTTTTTTTTAATCTCAATTGAAAGCTTTTTAACTTGCACTGTTAGCTTTAAGAATACCTGTACCACTGCAAAAATTGAAGCTATGCATCAAAAACTTATTTTTCCGGCATAACTATAGCTTTGATAAATCATTTTTGAAAAGAAAAGTATACTTTGTAGGACTTTAATGCAAACATAATGGAGACATAATACACAAAATATAAACAACAAACATGTTCAAAGTGTAAAATATTCTGCGGGGCAAGACCTGGATTCAAACCCTGGACTTTGGGTACATTCGCGTATCCGGTTAAAACAGTTGAACATGTCAGGAATATTCGGTACGTGTAGATTGAGGGGTCCAGACGTACCTGGCCGAAACTAAAATGCTGACTATTGCCATTCTTTCTAAAGCAATGTCACGCCACATGTAGTTTTTAAGATACGTTATGTAATTCAGTGGACGCGTGAGAGAAGGGCATACTATTCTTGACACATTGATTTTTATTCTCCGAAACGGTGCATTTTTAGCTCTGTTTATAGAACGGTCAAACTGCGTTTGTTTATCGTGGAAAATTTCTGAGCCACACATAGTGTTTCAACCAGGATACGCAAATGTAGCCTTAGATTGTTATACTATCGCTGAAACCGATTGAGCTACCTGGACAACAGAAGTGTATGCGCCTAAATGTACCACAGTTTTATCCAAACGAAGGTTAAGAGGAGATTACTGTATAGGAAAATACGGCAGTGAAATGGGACAGGGATCCTTAATTAGATGACCTTTGTAGCCCGAGTAAATATTGTTCAAAGTGTGTTCACTAGTTCCTTCTTTTAGTATTGTTATGAAGTTGTTGTTTTTTCATCCCAGATATCGTAAGTCTTCTATCAGAATCCTTAAACCCTGAAAAATACCCCAAGATACACAAGATGAAATTCATACTCACTGCCATCATCCATCTTCTTGGCAAAGCTGCGCATCTTCACTGGTATGCTGTTAGGGATATTATTCTTCTTGTTAGATGCTACTTCTGATGCTGGAAAATTTCAAAGATGAGTTAAGGTGAACATTTTCAATGGCATCAAACCTTTGAAAAGAATCACCAGGAAAAGAGCCATGCAACGAGATGCTCCGAATTGACTTAGTAAACATGTTCTTTGTTTCTATAACTCTATCATCATACTCAGCATATTGTGTGTGCAGAGAAAATAAAAGTTGAAAACTGGGTAGGGTTGGTACAGTATGAAGAAAAGTTGCCTATATATGTTTCAACTATATACTGACATTGGGTGCCTCGGTAGCAATGATCGCTACTGTGCAGTCATTTCTACTATATGACCATCTGGTGGTATGGTGGTTTTCCCATGTTGGTTTTCCTCCACCACGAAAACAACATTTGTTCCCTTAGAGGCATTGTAATAAAAGCTCTAAACAAAATTCTCCAAAGCATTCAGAGCAGAGATTTTAGGGTAGGCAGGAAACCCGAAATATATATATATATACATGTATTATAAAAAGAAAAATTCTCAACAACGAGTCTTTAGTACTTTCATCTCTTCTAGGAGATTCTTCAGCCTCAGATAAGGATAATTCTTCTGCTTATATAATATTTCTTGGTCCGTAAGGATACTTTTTCTGCTTATATAATATAATATTTCTTGGTCTGTAAGGATCATTTTTCTGCTTATATAATATATACATATTGTTGTTTGGAGTATGATAAAATATTCATAATAATGCCTCTGTTAGTGACAGCTTACCAATAGTAATTATAAATATCTTATAAAATCATTAAAAATTGATATTTGATATTTAACTACCATAATAAACTCACATTTCTGTAGAAGTTCAGCCCTAAGAATTGCAGACTTGGGTTTCCTCTTCAAGGCGAAGTGTTTTACTGGTGCTGGCTGAGTACCTGCCACAGCAGTGAAGGCAGTCTTGTTTAAAAACTGGCACTCCATCGGCAACATTCGCACACTTGCTGCTTTCTTCACTGTAAGAAGACCATCATGTAAGAAAACTACCCATCATTCATAAATCAGTGGTTTTTGAAGATTTTTTCAAAATTTGTATGGGTCCTGTAACCCTATCCTTAATTATTTTTGAGGTGTGCAACATGATGTCGAAAGGTTTAATTCTGATCAATACAAATGGCACAATGTGTGATTCACAGCTCTTGATAAATTGTCATTACACTAATTAAATGCACATATTCATAGTGCTTGCAATTGGTAGATATATGCAAATCTAAAAACACATTTGTGAGTAATTGTTGTTAAATGAGAAATAATTCAACAAACTTGATCAATGAGTGTTCGCAATAAAACAGCATGGAATGCATGTAGTATTGCATTAATGAAACCAAGGGAAATAAGTCTCTTAATTATGGTCAGGTAATATTGTGATTACACTCACTCCACTGATTCAGGGGGCATAACTCTGTAAATTATAGTAATATGATGGTAGAGCTATCGAAAAAATCCTATAGCTCTCCTGGTAATTATCCTTCCTATGAAACTTTGAAGTTGATCCATTGAAAATAACTTGAGAAATTGAGCGGACACCATCTCAGCAATTAAAAGCGTATAACTATAAGTAAAGTAAAGTCAGATATTAATAGTGGTTATCAAACTTGCCTAAGTTCTCATGGTAATTAACCTTCCTATGAAGTTTGAAGTTAATCTGTTGAAAATTACTCGAGATACCGAGTGGACAATGTGCGGGCCGCATCACCCTCACGACAGCTAACATGATAACATAATATGTCCCATATCTTTTGAAGGGTGTATAAAAAGTGTAAAATGTTTATTTGATAAGATTTTAACAAAAAAAACGACTCTTTATCGGCGAATAGTCTTCTTGCATGTACATTCTCAATGCATGGCAAAGCAGGAACATACCAACTTTATTGAGATCAGCCAGTATCTCTGTAAAGGTTGCGTTGTTATCAATGAGGTCAAGATTGAGTGACCCTGTGGATGGGAAAGGTCGGAGAATCTCCCCGACCATGGATACCCATTGGTCACTGTCATGTATAGCCATGAGCAAAATTTCCTCCATGTCCATCCTCCACTGAAATGTGATGTTTGAAATTTATCAAATTTAATCAATATTGAACAAGTTGCAAGTGACTCACAGGCCATCTTTCCATTTATTTAGTATGGAAAATCTCATAAAATGGTCAGTGTTTAACTTGCTCCAATATGCATTCAGCCTTAATTATCAGTCAATCATTTTGGACTCCCATGATTCGGCCCCTAATAAATATCATTAAATGTCAAACTTGTATGGAACAATTTGACTGTCTACTAAATATTATTGGGAATGGAACTTAATTTTAAACTCAAATAGACCGGAAAAACACTTCAATTTGATATTTGGAGTGTTTTCCACAATTTCGGTATATCATAAAGGTACCCAAAAAACAGATCAGTACCCAATGTTTCGAAAACTCCAGTATTCAAATTTCTTTGGCCAAACATGTACACCAGACTTGGGACATTTTGATAGATGATAGCTGTCAGTCATGTATTGAACAAGGATAATTGTGAGGTACATATCATTGTTTTTCATTGTTGTGTTGTTTGTTCTCTGACATTCCTAGGCTCATATTTAATCAGAGTATTGTACATTTATTATTTGTCCAGTATATTGTAGATTTCATTTTACATCTGTTTAATTTTTAAACTCTGTATCAGTATCAACATAAATCAAAGACCGTAGGGAAAGTTTCAGCTTAAAGAATGTCTTAGCTACAGTATGGCTCAAATTTCTTCCACAAACACATCAGATGATACATAGCAGTGAATTTTGAAGAACATTGGCGGGCGGTTAACTTTTTTATGCTTTTCAACATTCGACCAGTAAACAAGAGTTCGTGTCGTGTGTACCTGTTCTACATTTCGGCGATGAATATGAAGAAATGACAGCATCAGTTTGACTTTGACGTGAGGTTGGAGTGCATGGAAGCATTGGTGGATGCTCTGGAGTTTTTGCTGCGACAGTTGAGCGCATATTGTCTTCCCAGACCACAAATCGTCCGTGGATCCTAACTTGTTGTGCAGCCATAGTGCAGTGTCTCCGGTAGCCATATTGGAAAAAGGTGTTTCAGCCGGTTTGATTGGCTGCCGACAGAAATGTGTAGTTTATAATGGAAAAGTCCAATAGCAACCGAAATGCATAACCTGAATAATCCAATCGCAGCGCTACACGCGATAAATGAGAAAATCGCGAGGTGACTCAAATGTTGAACCTTTCACACATGCGCAGTACAGATTAGCGGGCTTTTGAAAACGAGAAACTGTTGTTATGATCAGGAACATTTTGGAAACTATTGCAAAGAGACTACCAATGCACAGACTGTAATAATAGAGTGAGTATCGTGCTAATTGATATCATCTATCAACTTCTACGACGATGTCATTTCTTCTTTCACGTCCATTGTTGGTAAATTAAGACTGCATTAGTTTTCTTTGCTGACATCACTTTTCCAAATGCAAACGTCAACGGTTTGCCACAAAGTGATGTTGACATAGGTACATCTCTTAAAACATCTTTTATCAACCATTGTATATTTCAACAAGACCTTTTGGTGTGATCAGAGTTTTATGGCAAACCTTGAAATTAATACAGTTTCCATTTATGTTTGCACTTGCAGATCCTTAGATTGCTTTATGTACAAGTTGGATATTGATTTTTAACCTATATTTTATCCTGTATTAACCTTAAGTGAGAAACTACTGTGAACATTGTATTGAAAATTGCCAGTGTGATCGGGTGGCCCACTTGCCTTTCAGCAAGGCGGCTGGGGTTTGATTCCCCGATCGCACGTGAAACGGTATAGGGTACCGGTCACCTGCAGCCTGATCGCGACCATGTGGGTTTTCTCCAGTGCTCCGGTTTCCTTCCAAATTAAGACCATCCCCCCACACCCTGTGTGCTAACACCTGGGCCAACAAGAGTGATTAATATACGTTGAAATAACTTGTTTCATAATTGTTAATTAATGTAATTTTATAAATAAAGGTGATATCGAAAATTGCCCGTCAGTAGCTAAGGCACTTGAGATCATGAAGCATGATGTCCCTTCGAAAAGTACTATAAAGAGGTTTTCAACTTCCTACACTTAATTTACTGCTGGTAATATAGGGTTTATTCTAGAAAGGGTCGATCGGGATAAGACAGTAATTCTCTAAGACACTTGCCAAAAGTGTTCTACAGTTTTAATGTCCAACGTCAAGTTATTTGAGAAATTAATGTCAGTGATTTAATAAAGGAAACTCTGATATTTAGTCTTAAGTTTAAATTCCTGTACCAGCTAGGCTAATGCTGTGACCAACATTTCCCTAGACTTTATATGGGTTCGTTGGTTTGGTTTGGTTTAGTATTGCTTAACATCCTATCAACAGCTATGGTCATTGGAGATGGATTGATCTCCTTAGTCCCTTCACAACTTAACCCCCCCCCCCCCCCCCCCCCCCCCCTTTCAAGAACAAAACTTCCTCTGATGAAAGATCAGAGCAATATATGATATTGAAAACAAATCTAATGAGGTAATTATCATGTGCACATATATATATACATACAATACAGTGGTTTGTATTGCAATATTATACTTACTCACATTTTGCTAAGGATCACCTATATTTAGAAAAAAATCAAAATGTTAGAAAGGATATTATATTTTCCTTCCATACTACTTTGGGCGAATAGGTTAGCCTTCCCAATCGTCCTGTGTGGGTGTGTTCAGTCAACCATAAAAGCATGTGCACACTTTTCCACGTGTACACCCCTTTCAAAAGCTAAACTAGGCTAATTAAGTAATATAAGGCGTTGTTAAAATTGTTAAGATGAATATTCTTTGCATGTTTTTGTTTTGATATGGCAAAAAGACGAACCAGGCAACAGTTTAATGACAGTGAAATGAATATCTAGGCATTGGAATGCTACAAGCTAGCATGTCTCAATGTCAGGTTGCAACAGACCTTGGGGTGTTTCAAAGTGTGGTGGCAAGAATGTGGAATCGGGTTCAAACTAACGGAAACCCTTCCAGACGTCATGCTGGAGGTCTTTCTAGGGCTACAACGCAGCGTCTAGACCGATTTTTGCTCATACAGGCACGGCGTTGCAGGTTCCAAACTGCAACAGCTTTACAAAATGACCTTGCTTCTGGTACCCGGGTAGCCACTCAGACAGTGAGGAACCGTCTTCATGGTGCTGCTGGTTTAAGGTCACATAAACCAGCAAATCGAGTTAGGGACCGATTAGATTGTGCACAAGCTCACAGCACTTGAACTCTTAACGAATGGGAACCAGTTCTTTTTACTGACAAATCCAATCGACTTCACCGCCAGGCGCGTTATAGCGTATGGAGACAACCTGGGGAAAGGTTCCAAGCAGGTAACATTGTGGAACATGACCGATATGGCTAAGGTTCAGTGATGGTGTTAGGAGGCAATATATAAGCCTTCGTGGGAAAACTCACCTCCATGTCTTGCACTTTTGGCCCTGACTTCATCCTTATGGTTGATAATGCTAGGCCGCATAGAGCAAGGGGTGACTGAGCAGTATCTACAGCAAGAGAATATTCAACTAATGGATTGGCCAGCCCGCTCACCGGATCTTAATCCCATCGAGCATGTGAGGGACACGCTGCAGACAGCTCTCTCTGCCAAAAATGTTCAGCCAAGAACGCTCCACGAGCTTGGAATAGGTTTGGTAGCTGAGTGGAACGCTATCCCACAAAACTGGATATGCGATCTCATTTGGGTCATGTGCAGACGTTGTGAAGCTGTAATTGATGGTTGTCATGGGCGTCACACTCGATACTAAAACAGTTTCTGTTTATTTAGGATGAGTTTTGTTCAATTTAAGTTTTTTTGTGAATATCTCGTTGTTACCAATTTTAAGGGTTACCCTTTTCCTGTGGCTCATTTTCCAACTGTAATTACGATTTTTGGAATTTTTGCATGCTAATGAATTAAAAGAACAATGAATTTTTCAAAAATAATCTCAGTATAAACCAAATAAAACATTTATTTTCACATATATATGCCCAAAAATAAAAGTGATCCTTAGCAAAATGCGAGTAGTATATATATACACATGTATATATGTATTAAACGACCATCTGTTTTATGCGACCACTGTTCATTCCTCCCTTTTACTATGTAAATTAACTGTATTAAGTGACCATCTGTCTAACGCAACCAGCGACCACCCAATACTGGCCCCAAAATTATGTTAAACGACCACATTTGATTCATTTCATTTTAGCGATAATGTTTGGCGAAAATATACCAAACAGTCGTTGAAATAGTTGTGTGACTCCATATTTGCGACCGTCGCCACATTTGACGAAGGGCTAAATGACGATCTTTTAACCAAGTTCAGAAAACCAATTCCCGAACTTATAATAAATTCGTAAAATAAAGGAACAATACTGTACATGTGAACCCACCTGTTGGACCAACAGAGGAACCACTATCATTTCAACAACAATGTCTTTCGTAACAAGTTCGCTTTAGTCATGGTAATTACCGAAAACACAGTTGTGTAAGTTGAGAATTTCAACAAGTCTTTGTCGAACGTTTGTTCCGAGTGAAATGACAATTCTTCCCAAACACTCTTAGTTGTTTGTTTACTGTCATAATTATCACTCGACTATTGTTATGTTATTCACTTGATCTGTTGAACGATGTTGTTTTAATATAAACTACCTGTACATACATGTGTAAATGTGCGCTTGGGGTGGTGGTCTGTTTACAGTTGTATGAATAAGGAGTCGTACATAGTCGGATGTGTATAATTCTGTACAAAATATATTCAAACTTTATTAAACGACCTCTTTTATTAAATGACCGTTTTTTTAATTTCCCTTGGGTGGTCGCTTAATACAGATTCCACTGTATATTGTGATTCCTAACATTTAAACACTTTTTAAAATGTTTTCCAAGGTGGCCAGGGTTCGATTCCCTGATCGGACGTGAAAAGGTATGGGGTCACCTGCCCGACCAAGTGAGTTTTCTCCGGGTACTCCGCTTTCCTCCCACACTAAGACCCCCGCGCTCTAACATCCGGGCCAACAAGAGTGATTAATATAAGTTGACATAACTTGTTTCATAATTGTTGTAAAGTAAATAAAGTTTATATTTTAAACACTGTTTCATTTGCAGAATTTCTGTTTTTATTTTGTATTGTTTCACAGTTAAAATTGGTTTATTTTAACTTTTGTAGGCCTACAGTCACGACTTTTCTTACGGATGAAATATGGATTTGATGGAGTTCTCTATGTCAGAGGGTAACGACACCCTAACCGGAGATGAGAACTTTCTGCCTCCCAAGCTGATGCAGACACCGGTGGTGGTCAACTCGATCCTGAAGCCATCCACCAAGGGCAACCTAATGCAGCTCCACACACCCAAGCCTCAGCAGAAACATCTCAAGGTTTTCAAAATCTTTATAGCTCCATACAGTTTAATGAATTTATATATACAGTCCTGTACACTCATTACCTCAGCTATATAAATGTATTCACAGTAGACATTTATTGAATATCATGTATACGATGATGTAGAGCTGTCACGATACACTTTACCCACAATTCAATAAGTGTCTCGATATTTGTACCATGATTTGATTATTTCGATTCGATACACCTTTATTTTAAAATATAAACAAAATGAGATATATAAGCCATCGATACATGGAAACCCACAGTGTTTCCACAATTTTGATTTGAAGCTTACCGGAGCATCACAAATGTTCATTTCCTTACTGTGGTCCACCATTTTGTTATGAATGCTTTTCCTCGCAGCCGATTGGTTGAGGGTTTAGAGATCACCAAATGAAATTGAACGTCTGACAGAGGTTTTGGCTGAAGCGGCCGGCATACACTAATATAATATTCAGATCGTGACGCATTGAAAATCCGGAAAAATATATCGTGAAACGAATCGAACTAAATTATCTTGATACAAGTGAATCACGATGAATCGTGACACCTCTACGATGATTTCAGATCAAAATTATCAACGACAAAATCTGAACCATTTGATCACTTGTTGGTTTACTTGACAAAAATCAGCTGTAATGCTGGTGCTTTTGTGCATCATATATGCAAGATAAATATTATTTATAAATACCTGATATCTTTCCTTTAAGATGTTAGAGTCTTCTTAATACTACCCTTGAGACAAATCTTTTCAGAATGAGTTAATTACTGATTATAAGGCCAAACATTATATAAAAGTGGGGTTTTTTTTCAGGTTATAAGTCTAAAAAATAGGGTAGGTTGGTTATGAGTGATATTTTCATCTTTTATAAGGTATATATAGGAGAGTCCACTTGACCTTAACAGTGCGCCTTTGAAAATTGCCAAAAACGTTTTAGGGTAGACACACAAAATTTGGGTATGTAGGCTAGGGTGACCAGAAATGAACAACATATTTTATTCAGCCTAATGGGTTTGTAATTACCAGGTGAAGTTTGAAACACCCCGCCCAGTGAAGGAGGTCACGCCAACACGCTATGAACAGATCGCTGATTTGGATGAGAAAGAAAACTGGATCGAGCGGACAACCATTGTTACCAAAACAGATCATTTGCTAAACATAGAATGTGCTAAAGGCATTGTCAACAACATAGTAGAAAATCTTCCATTGTCGAAAAGGTAAAAATCTCGCACAATCCTTGATACAACATGAGTTGTTTCATTTTTCCATCATAACTGCCACTGCATTAAGAGTAAATTCCAGAATTAACAAATCAAAACATTTTAATGTATTTATTACAACCAATAAAACATGAAACTATCAAAAATATATGTAAACACACTTATTAACATAATTGCTATTTGCATATTAGATGTGAAAGAGAATACTTAATGTTTGAAAATGATTTTTTCTGAAGATTTTTCGTATTCATGTGACTTTTAACCTTGCCAAATACACAATTACATAGTCGTAAAGTTGTGGTGTAATTGTTGTAGCGAGTCAGTCGCTGAATCGGACAAACCTACGACTGAAAGTGAGGAGGAAGAGGAAGCCTTCTTTGATGCCAGTGAAGAAACTGACAAAGCCACACCTGACACCCTGGGACATCCAACTCCAACACCTACCTCTGCTGATACGTTTCCTGCCCCACAAGACACAGCTGTGTCTGCCAAACAGCAAGTAACTGATGTTTCTACCGTGTCTGTCCCACAAGGTGCTACTGGGATACTTGAGGTTAGTATGGAATGTACTGAGGAAGATGTCTTGGCTACAGAAGAACCGATGGATTGTGACGAAACAGCAATGGAGATAGATGTAACAGTGATCAGTAACAAAACCTTGATTGAGGACAAAGCAACGAGTCCAAAGACGGCCCAGGTAAATCCTGTCACCGTGGTAACTTCTCCTCCACTACCTTCATGCGGTGGGGCGTACAAGATTGACTATGACAATTTAGACAGCTTTAATCCATTCCAGACAAAGGGTGATATAAGCAATTCACCTGTCCGAACTACTGAAGCGCACAACAAATCAGCTGCTGGAGAGAAAATTGATACTGAACAAGTGCCACTTAATACAGATACAGTGGAAAGTGTATCTGATTCGCAAGCACCAGAGGGTGTACTAGGCATAGAGGCTGAGGTTGTTACCGACCTTTTGTCAGAAGTCCTTCCTGAAGTTGATGGAGATCAAGTGCAGGGAATTTACAATATAAACTTTGATGATAAAACTGACCCATTTGCAACTAAATCACAAGTTCAGAATTCTCCTTCTTCAGTCGACACATTTGCAGCCAAGTCACAAGTTCAGAATTCACCTCTAGCAGCGGACCCATTTGCAACTAAATCACAAGTTCAAAATTCTCCTGCAGTGGACCTGTTTGCAACCAAGTCACAAGTTCAGAATTCTCCACCAGCAGCTGACCCATTTGCAACCAAGTCACAAATTCAGAATTCACCCTCAGCAGCTGACCCATTTGCAACCAAGTCACAAATTCAGAATTCACCCTCAGCAGCTGACCCATTTGCAACCAAGTCACAAATTCAGAATTCACCTCCAGCAGCTGACCCGATTGCGACCAAGTCACAAGTTCAGAATTCTCCTCTGGCAGCAGACCCATTTGCCACTAATTCACAAGTTCAGAATTCTCCTCTGGCAGCTGATCCGTTTGCAACTAATTCACAAATTCAGAATTCACCTCCAGCAGCTGACCCGTTTGCGACCAAGTCACAAGTTCAGAATTCTCCTCCTTCAGCCGACCAATTCGCAACCAAGTCACAAGTTCAGAATTCTCCACCTTCAGCCAACCCATTAGTAACCAAGTTACAAGCACATAATAATGACATGAGTACAGACATAGCTACAGTATGCGACACACAGTCGTTACCTGTGAATGGAGATATCACAACACCTCAACGACCTATGAAAATCGATAAAGATGATCCGTTTTCAACGAAATCAAAAGTTGCGAACTCACCATTACAAGCTTCGGTACTGAATAATTCAAATCCCTTTGCTACTAAATCAAATGTGTGTAACTCTCCGATACAGCCACCAAATGAAGAAAAAATGACCTTGACCGTACCAACGGTGCCTGATTCATCCACCCTGAACAGTTATAACCCTGTGGCCAGCCTAACTTCTGAGGGATCAGTAATCACTCCTAAAAAGTCACTAAGTATTGAAGAAGACACTTTATCAGTGCAGTCAAAAATGGCAAACTCACCTCCCAGCAAAAACCCAGCACCTGCCACAGAAACAGCATTGGTACTAGAAAATGACCCCTTCACCACAAAATCCAAGGTGCCTAACTCCCCTGCACCTTCAGCAACAGTGAAAATAGATGCTTTGACAGATCTAGACCCCTTTACTACAAAATCCAAAGTCCCAAATTCCCCTCCACCTTCAGTGACGTCAACAGAAGATCCTTTGATAGACCCCTTTACCACAAAATCTAAGGTGCCTAATTCTCCAATATCTTCAGAGACAGTGAAGAAAGATTCTATGGAAGATTTAGACTCCTTTACCACAAAATCCAAGGTGCCTAACTCTCCGATATCTTCAGAAACAGTGAAGAAAGATTCTATGGAGGATCTAGACCCCTTCAACACAAAATCTAAGGTGCCCAATTCCCTTCCACCTTCAGCGCTATCGAAAGAGGAACCTTCGTCAGATCCCTTTACCACAAAATCCAAGGTGCCTAACTCTCCAATATCTTCAGAGACAGTGAAGAAAGATTTTATGGAGGATCTAGACCCCTTCAACACAAAATCTAAGGTGCCCAATTCCCCTTCACCTTCAGTGCTATCAAAAGAGGAACCTATGTCAGATCCCTTTACCACAAAATCCAAGGTGCCTAACTCTCCAATATCTTCAGAGACTGTGAAAAAAGATTTTATGGAAGATCTAGACCCCTTTAACACAAAATCTAAGGTGCCCAATTCCCCTTCACCTTCAGCGCTATCAAAAGAGGAACCTATGTCAGATCCCTTTACCACAAAATCCAAGGTGCCTAACTTTCCGATATCTTCAGAGACTGTGAAGAAAGATTTTATGGAGGATCTAGACACCTTCAACACAAAATCTAAGGTGCCCAATTCCCTTCCCCCTTCAGCGCTATCGAAAGAGGAACCTTCGTCAGATCCCTTTACCACAAAATCCAAGGTGCCTAACTTTCCAATATCTTCAGAGACTGTGAAGAAAGATTTTATGGAGGATCTAGACCCCTTCAACACAAAATCTAAGGTGCCCAATTCCCCTCCACCTTCAGCGCTATCAAAAGAGGAACCTATGTCAGATCCCTTTACCACAAAATCCAAGGTGCCTAACTCTCCGATATCTGCTGCAACAATGAAAAAAGATCCTTTAGCAGATCTTAACCCCTTTACCACAAAATCTAAGGTTCCAACTTCTCCGTCACCTCAAGCACCTACAGAAATTCGAGTATCAGATTCCACTGCAGCGACGTCCAAAGTGCCAGAAATGACGTCACAGACTAAACAGCAAGTGTAAGCATTTCTACTTTTTACACATTTTCCACAAATGTGGCTGAGGGGGGGGGGGCAGTGTCTGTGTGTCTCTGTAATTTAGTTTAATTTACTTAAAACTTCATTTTTAAAAAGGAATAAATGGAAGATCGCCCTACTTATACCACAAGTACAGTTGTACACTTTAGAGGAAGAATTGTACCAAAGTAAGGAATATAAACTTGCATGGAAAAATAATATTCTCAGTTAGTCTGATGACAGTATCTAAATCGAATGTCAGTTAGGTAAATATTGAATTGGCCAAAGTGATAAAACATTTTTCAAAAGACTTAAGATATGAATTAGTCGTAAAATTTGATGTTTGTTAAAAAAACAAAAACAAAAAACCGATAACTGTAATAATTGCAGGGGGAGATGCGTTTTACATATATCTGCTGTCTGCAACACTTGTTTTCCAATGACTGGCGTGCTTACATTGATAATTCTACTATACATTGGACCTAAAAACCTCTTTTGTGTTGATGGGCCATTGAGAATTCAGTAATAATTATGATACATTGATAATTTATTGGCCATACCTCAAACCACATTTGATGATGTTATATTTGTTCATTCCAGAAACCCACCACCAAGTTTAGAAAACAAGTTTCCTGAGGTAAGTTTTAGTTAACTGAAATGTTATGTATATATATATAACGCGAGTATTGGTTTTCATCCAGACATAGTACCGGGGAAATATTACTACGACTACTTTTAAATTGAATATTGTTTAGCAATGCAAATGAAAGTAGAAATGATGCGCAACAACACCACTGAATCTGGTACAAAATGTAATGTTTGATTTACATCCTACCCCCCAGTTGTTACCAATTGTTTGGCAATGCGTGAAATCAACAAAACTTAGACCGTAGATCTATGCATCTTTGGTAGATCATCTCAACCCTTGCATCAAATGCTAGATGCCCTCTACCTTTCATGATCCATTGACTTTGTCAGCATCTCCATCAACATTCTAAGTTTTTGCATTTAAGTAAGTTTCACTGAAACTATAAGTGCTTGACCAACCAAACTTGGACCATAGATACATCTTAGGTAGAACATCTCAACCCATGCATCAAATGCTGGATGTCACATACCTTTCATGGTCCATTGACTTTGTCAGCATTTCCATCAACATTAAGTTTTTAGGTCACCTGAGCTTTAGCTCAAGTGACCTATTGCTATCCATCTTCGTCCTTCGTCGTCCGTTAACATTTTACATTTCAAACTGAAATTCAAGTTCTGCTGGGCCGATTGAACTGAAAGTTGGTAGGAATGATTTACTCGTGGTCCTGACAAAGTGTTGTTATTTTTCGGGTCGATCAGAAATCCAATATGGCTGCCACGGCCGCCATTTTGAAAAACTATTTCAAACTTAAAGTCAAGTTCTGCTGGGCCGATTGAACTGAAAGTTGGTAGGAATGATTGACTCATGGTCCTGACAAAGTGTTGTTATTTTTTGGGTCGATCAGAAATCCAATATGGTCGCCATTTTGAAAAACTATTTCAAACTTAAAGTTCTGCTGGGCCGATTGAACTGAAAGTTAGTAGGAATGATCAACTCATGGTCCTGACAAAGTGTTGTATTTTTCGGGTCGATTAGAACTCCAATATGGGTAGCCACGGCTGCCATTTTGAAAAACTATTTCAAACTTAAAGTCAAGTTCTCCTGGGCCGATTGAACTGAAACTTTTTAGGAATGATCGAATCATGGTCCTGACAAAGTGTTGTTATTTTTCGGGTCAATCAGAAAATCGGTCTAGGAATGATCAGATCATTGTCCTGACAAAGTTAAGTTAACATTATACTTAACTATTTTTTACTAAAATTGGTACATATTTCAACAACAAAAATAAATACTGTAGGACTCAGGTAACCGTTAAGGCCCATGGGCCTCTTGTTGAGTTTAAGGTTAGGTTTACTGAAAGTATAAGTGCTTGACCAACCAAACTTGGACCATAGATGCATTTTAGGTAGAACATCTCAACCCATGCATCAAATGCTGGATGTCGCATACCTTTCATGGTCCATCGACTTTGTCAGCATCTCTATCAACATGAAGTTTATGTGTTTAAGTTTGGGTTTCTCTAAAGTGCTACATCAACCAAACTTGATGGTCAAAGAGAGGGAACAGACAAGACATAAATTCAAATGGCTTGTTTTGGGAAAAAAATATTGACTAAGGTTGAAATATGGACCAGGTTGTAAAAATAATTGTGTTTAAAATGAGAGTTGGCCTATTGTTACCTAAAATCAATTAAAACTATGAGGCAGGTATCAATTGTATTTCTTACTGGATCTTGACTGAATATTGTATACAATCAAATTAGACATTGATATCACTTTATACATAATTCACTTTTTTTCTGGAATTTTTAGCTCATTCCTTTTTCCAAGGCTGATTATAATTAATTAACATTTATCTACACTTAATCCTTTCACCACTGTAGACCATCACAGACTCATCCAGATGAATGTATGGTAGAGTCTACTCAAGTTATCTAGGGGTGAAAGGGTTAAGCCTAATTTTGCTAATAATGCACATTGATTCTTTTGAAGGCGGCATTTCAAAACATTGCTAGCAGGAACACATTGCCGGAGAGTGCATCGAACGTCCCTGACTTTTCAGATGAAGAGTTCCGACCAGCAACAGACTGCAGTAAGTCTCTTGGGAAACTTAACCCTTTTACCCCTATGTGACTTTAGTAGACTCTACCATGCATTGATATGGAGGGGTCCATTATGGTCTACAGTGGTAAAAGGGTTAAGTATATTAAAAGTGCATGAAAGATAAAACTCTCATACAATGTAGTGTCAATTCCAGTTGGCAATATTTTATAGAGATGTGACATTATTTTCAAATATAAATTACAGTTGGATCCCTTTTAGTCTGGTATATGATAGTCCATCATTGGTCAGCCGATGATAACTGTTTAGAAAAATGCAATGAACTGGTCGAATGGAATTTTATTTATTTTCACTTTCAGAATCAGATCAAATGTTCTAAGAGTTCAAAAAGAAATTCTGTATACTAGGAGTTTTCCACCACAGTTTAGCTTAATACGCCTTTTTTGTCGTCCGTAATGAGGATTAATTTATCATAACAGCAAATTAATAACAACATAATAAACATGGCAATCAGATGTGAAAGGCAAATTAACGAATATATGGGTTTTATCAGCGTATAGCAAAAATTAGACTAGGCAAAATTTTCTACACTCGTACAGTTCAACCAGCCCTAGTACAATTCCAGTATATATATATATACTGACCAGTCATCTACATGCCGTCTTTGAGCAATGATTACTTTAACCATTGCTGATTTGTAAAATTTAAAGATTTTTATTTAGTTTATTGGGTAAGTGTTTTATGCTGTATTTTAATTTATAAAAATAGAGATCGCACAGAAATTTCCACTTATCCATGCAAGTCTCTATCAATTCACTTTGAGGTGGGAACGGAGGTGGCTAGACTATTGAGACAGGGCCATAGCATGTACATAGTAGTTTAGTATGAAATGTTTAAAGAAAATATCTTATGCTGTGAAAGGATTTTTTTTTTCTTAAATGTTGGCCTTGCGTTTCTAATAAATACATCTACCTGGAAATCAATATTTACATTAGACTATTAAAATCAATTTGTATTAAATAACACATTTATTATAAAAAAAATATATATTCAAACTTCGCTCATTATTCACATAGTGGAATAAAGATTGATAGGTATATATTAATGGCTGCAAATTCAAAAAATAGTAAACAGTTCATGGGTATATAGATGAACTAGAGTCAACATTTGTGTTTTATTTCCATAGTATTCAACGATTCTTCATTCTTGGATGTGTTGGAGAAGTTTGGTAGCAGCAACTCAGTAAGTACAGCAAAATGTTTGTGACACACATGCCAAACTTGCAAACACGTAGCACTTTATGAAATTATACATATAACATACTGATGTTCATAGGGCCACAGATTAACACATTAACAGTCGAGCTAGGTCCACATATATACCCCCATCTTAGAAATCAGGGATTGATGCAGGAATAGAAAGTTAGTACCCTTTTTTTGAAATAAGGGGAAATATGTGCTGTAGATGTACATGTATGACCGGCCAGCGAGGGCTGCAGGCCAGAGCCAGGGGGAGAGTATACAAACAAGAGATCACATCTTTAATTTTTGTCTTGCTGTTCATTATAGATTATACAATATCAGCAGTGACAATTAACATCAACACAGGGAAAATGAAATAAATCACTCAGTTGTGGAACTGATGGAAAATTAAAAGAATAATGGAACCAAGACAGATATTCATGTGGTAGTATTTTAGTTACAAGTGGCTGTGTATTTAACTGAAATAGGGGGAAATATAGCTGAAATAGTGGAAAATAATGCCAAAATTGGAGAGGGGAACTGGCCCATTTCGGTCATAAAACAGGCCTGTATATATCCATGGAAATGCTGTAGATTCCTGCATACCTTCAGGATTTTAGATTATCGGACCATATATGGTATGGTCCAATAATCTAAAATTTGAAAATAAAAGGAAATTGATTGAAAGTTTCTCTGTTCATCCTTAGACAAATTCTCGATATTCCAGGGGTTACGCTCACTTTAGCTCTCTGCACCCCTGGAATATGTCATAGCAAAATTGAAAGCTCAGTGTGCAGCACCTTGAAGAGTTTTTTCCTTGAATCTGGTTGTCTTAACCAAAGCATACCTAAGATATTTGTCCTGTATATACTTTACACTAGTCCCAGCATTTTGGGCAGAGTTATTACCCTATTGAACTTGTTTAATTCACTTAATTTGAAACCTAACAGAATTAAATCAATAACTATCATATGAAGTAGTTGTACATTTCTTTTCACGCATAATATTCCCATGCATGATGTTTTCTGCAAGGGTACACATACAGAAGGGTGAGTTGGAGATTATTTCACAATAAGCTGTCACTTTTGTTTTTCTAGACATACGAGAGTGATAATTTTTGATAATTGTCGTAGTAACCTGTCTCATTTGATTCATCACTTATCACAGGAAAGCAAGATGTCCGACCTCTCCCGGATGTCCCTGTATGTCAAGTTTGATCCCCTGGTCAACCTCCCAGCTTCTGGTTTGTATACCTGTCAACAACATTGTCGTATCGTTTTCCGCAAAAATGTTCATGCCCCGTCACAATAGTGGATAATGATATTTTGCATTCAGCTCCTTTTCTCTTATACTGGGTCCTATATATATAGTCATCAAAGTGCAGTCACATGTTACACAGATAAATATAAAATATAGGTCACTGCAACATTAGGTTAAGGATCCCTGTACCACTGCCAAAAACTGTTTCTAAGTATTGGAAACTGGTTTTTTTCCAGCATGACTAAAGCCTTCGTAAATCATTTCTGAAAGAAAAGCATACCTTACGGGTCTTTTTTGAAAAATGATCAAGATCAAATCACCGAGAGTTCTGAGTTAGAAAAATCAGCCAGGCTTGACCTGGATTTGAAATCTGGGCTTCAGATTGTTATACTATTTCTGTATCCAATTGAGCTACCTGGTCTGTAGAAGTGTATAATGTACTAGCCAACAGTTATATCCAAACTGAAATCAAAGGGAGGTTACTGTGTATAGGGAAAACGGCAGTGCTGTGGGAAAGGGATCCTTAAACAACTCGAAAATGATGAGCTAAGGCCAAAAAAATTAATATATATGTGTTTCAGGTATCCCGACCTAGCCTAAATTTTACTACTGACCCTAGATATTTTATCACCTACTTGTATCTAAGATTAATTTATTAGCCAGGCAAAGTTCACATCCACTCATTAAAATGTACCTTCTTCCTATTCTGGGAGTCTGACCTTATTATTGACAAATTAATAGCCATTGTAATGGGTGGAAATGCATTGTAAAATTTGAAATAAAACATAATATTAATTCACGAAAATAAAAAAATTAACATGAAAATATTTGCCTACCAACCTAGACCCTATTTTTTCAGGTATGTTACCTGACACATTCTGGTTTTGTTTTGTTTTTGTTTTGGCCCAATGTCCTAAATACAATGGTTTTTCTATCTACAGATCCACGTCGTGCAAGTATGAACCTGTACAAGCGAGCCAGTATTATGAATATGCCTAGGAAAAGTCTATCTGGAAAAAGTCTTTCTGAAGTGTGAGTCTTTAATATGTAAAAAAGATATTAGGACCGTTTCATCAAGGTCAGATAGAGGTCATTAGAGTAAAATCAACTACAATATCTTTCATTTTAATGATTCTTTGATATATATAATTCCCAAAATTCAAAAAACACTAAACTAATGTTTGTATTTGTAGTTTCATCATCTACACAAAGGTTTTCATGTGATAACTCTTTAAAAAATGCTATGATTCTAATGAAACTTCATGCAAATACTTATCTTACCAATAACCTTTTAAACTTTGAATTTGAGCTGGGTTTCATAGCAGATATGATTCCTAATATCTTTTGAAGAAGTGATCGGGTTTTAATTCAATTTGGCAGGTCTATTTGGTAGCCATACCTACAACCTGATTGGCTGGTGGTTTCTGGGTAATGTCTTTTCAAAAGAATAACCAGGTGTTGATGAAACTCAAATACCATCCTAGGCCAAATTAAGCACATCTAATAAGGCTGCTGTGGTCTGTTTAGGTAGTTTCTGAATGACGTGCTTTGAAGGAATTATCATTTTGTGATAAAAGTTGCCAAGTAATACCTACTACCCAAGTCCCTTGCTCATACATCCTTGATATCCAGGGGTTACGCTCACTTTCACTCTCCGCACCCCTGTAATATGTCAGTTCAATTTAAGGCATGAAAATAGCTGTTTGAGTGGTCTAGGGTTAAAAAAAACACCTGACCAATCGCTAGACAGATACCTGCCCTTTGAACATTACAGAGGAGCCACACATGACTTCAAAGCCAGTCAATTTTACCATTGCGCGACCTCAAGATTCTTTTGATGTGTGATCAAAGGATCAAACTAGTCTTCTCGTCTCATCAACAAGGTGGCGCACACTGAGCCTTATATTTTACTATGACATATTCCAGCGGTGCAGAGAGTGAAAGTGAGCGTCACCCCTGGAGTGTAGAGGATGCAGCAAATCTGTCTCATTTCATTCCTTCGTCATGAGTTAATTGCTATCAGCCATCATTCCACCTAAGCTGGTGCAAGCCCCACCCACTTTTTCAGAGTGTTTTTTTTAGATGATAGACATGTTTTGTTTTTTGTTTGTTGGCTGTAGGTGTAACGCTGAGGAGAGCATGTTACTGATGGGTACGCCTCCTAAACAGATGTCGCAGCGTCTCACTAATGTAGCCAGTCGTATCCATCACACTGGTTTCACACCTGGGAGTACACCAACCACTCCAAAGGCCTTCAAACCCCAACTGGACCTTCTGTGTGCCAATACACCCCCTCGTAGTGTCAAAAAGGTAAGGCGGACTGAATGTGAAATTTCGGGAAAAAACCTCAGAATCTTGTCAGTAACCTCTTGTTATTAGTTCTCCACCAGTACTACCAGAGGGAACTATAGGTTTACACTCAATTTTGGCATATTCTCATATATACCGTATTTTACCGGTGTTAAGCCCAGGGGGCTTGGCTTATGCAATGGAAACATGTCGGAGGTAGTGGGTGGGCTAATTACCGGAAATGAGCCTGTGTTTTACCGGTCATAAGCCCAGACTGGACATCGTGGTCAGCCATTTTGGTTCCCGATGTCACAGCTTACAAGTTCTCTTGTCACCGATAATTGCTAAATTTTGAAAGTGACTTGAGTACCTTTTGGGAGTATCACATGCTAAAACCAGTGCTCATATTCATGAAACTGTTCTTATGCTCAAGGATGGATTTTGAGCTCAAACCAACTTTCTTGTAACTCACTTAAATCATGTGATACAATCAGATAGTCAAGCGTAAACAGTTAAAATAGAATATTGCATGGAGTCTCTCCCAAATTGTTCCAAAAATGTCGGCAAAATGTGTTTTTTATTTTTATTAATGAATCACCAGAACAAGCAATTGGGCTTGAGCACAGAATTTGCGTTTGAGCATGAAAACGGTTTCATGACTACAGGCCTAGGTCTTTAGTGCCACACTAAATACAGAGTTTTGGGCCTTTTGTTTGTTCACTTTTCATTACAAAGTTTCTAAGGAGAGAGGGGACTAGAGATTGTTGCAATGTATAAAGAAATCTGTTTAGTACGTTGTTACTACAGTGACTGATGATGTTGTGATGACTGGGTACTCCTTCATTACAGTCAACTACACCTGCCCCGGTAAAGGTGAACTCCAATCTTCCTGAGGATCCCTCAGACAATTTAGCCGCTAGCACTGACGACAACATCATAGAGGTAATATTAACATCCATCTGTGTGTGTCTCGAACCTCCCTCTTTGACATATGGTGGTAGATAGGATCTTGTTTTAAAAAAAAATTAAAAAAACAAACTTATTTCAGTAATAATTATGTTTGCTCTGAATATCTACAGTAGCCTTGAATAAACATGGTGTATAAATCAAATCAAATTTAAATCATGTTTGATTTGGATTATTACACAAATTGTGCAACATATTAGCCATTGCTTTACCTTTTTAGGTCACCTGAGACAAAGTCTCAAGTGACCTATTGCGATCGCCTTTTGTCCGTCGTCGTCCGTCGTGCGTCCGTAAACAATTTACATTTTCGACTTCTTCTCCAAAACCCCTGAACCAATTTCAATGAAATTTTGCAGGGACCTTCCATGGACAAAGGTCAACAAAAATAGTTGCCGGTTTAGTCCTAAACCCCCAGGGGCCTGAGGGGCGGGGCCAAAAAGGGGCAAATTGACTAAAATTTCAAAAACCTTCTTCTCCAAAATCCCTGAACCAATTTAAATGAAATTTCGCTTGGACCTTCCATGGACAAAGGTCAACAAAAATAGTTGCCGGTTTAGTCCTAAGCCCCCAGGGGCCTGAGGGGCGGGGCCAAAAAGGGTCAAATTGACTAAAATTTCAAAAATCTTCTTCTCCAAAACC